CCCGAGTGTCTTTCCTCAGGTGCATCCACTGTGTATATTTGTGTATACATGTGTTGGGCTTTCAAGGAGAGGCCAGAAATTGATGTTGGGATTGTTTCCTCAGTCATTTTACCTTATTTTTGTGATAGATTCTCTCATTAAACTTGGAGGTTCTTATTTAGCTACACTGGTTAGCAAGTCCCAGAGATCTTTCTGTCTCTGGTCCCCAGTGCTGAGATTGACATAGCCATACAGGTACCTGGGATTTGAACCACACGTAATCCTGGCTGCTCAATAAGAATTTTAGCTATTTCTCTCCAGCTTCATTTTTTTTTAGGTGGTTTCTCATTGGCCTGGACTGTGCTACATAGGTTAGCAATCTGTCTATTTCTACTTTTTGGCACTAGATTACAATGGAGCTAACTTCCCAACCCCTTTCTATGTTGTTTTTCTTTTCTTTTCTTTTTTTGACTTTTTCTATTTTATTTTATTTTATTCTTTTTTAAATTTATTTATTTATTAAAGATTTCTGCCTCCTCCCCGCCACTGCCTCTCATTCCCCCCCCCCCATCAAGTCCCCCTCCTCATCAGCCCAAAGAGCAATCAGGGTTCCCTGACCTGTGGGAAGTCCAAGGACCACCCACCTCCATCCAGGTCTAGTAAGGTGAGCATCCAAACTGCCGAGGCTCCCACAAAGCCAGTACGTGCAATAGGATCAAAAACCCATTGCCACTGTTCTTGAATTCTCAGTAGTCCTCATTGTCCACTATGTTCAGCGAGTCCGGTTTTATCCTGGGCTTTTTCAGACCCAGGCCAGCTGGCCTTGGTGAGTTCCCGATAGAACATCCCCATTGTCTCAGTGTGTGGGTGCACCCCTCGCGGTCCTGAGTTCCTTGCTCGTGCTCTCTGTCCTTCTGCTCCTGATTTGGACCTTGAGATTTCAGTCCGGTGCTCCAATGTGGGTCTCTGTCTCTGTCTCCTTTCATCGCCTGATGAAGGTTAATATTCAGGAGGATGCCTATATGTTTTTCTTTGGGTTCTCCTTCTTATTTAGCTTCTCTAAGAACCTGAATTATAGGCTCAATGTCCTTTATTTATGGCTAGAAACCAAATATGAGTGAGTACATCCCATGTTCCTCTTTTTGGGTCTGGCTTACCTCACTCAGGATAGTGTTTTCTATTTCCATCCATTTGCCTACAAACTTCAAGAAGTCCTTGTTTTTTACTGCTGAGTAGTACTCTAATATGTATATATTCCATACTTTCTTCATCCATTCTTCCATTGAAGGGCATCTAGGTTGTTTCCAGGTTCTGGCTATTACAAACAATGCTGCTATGAACATAGTTGAGCATATACTTTTGTTGTATGATAGGGCCTCTCTTGGGTATATTCCCAAGACTGGTATTGCTGGGTCCAGGGGTAGGTTGATCCCGAATTTCCTGAGAAACCGCCACACTACTTTCCAGGGTGGTTGCACAAGTTTGCATTCCCACCAGCAATGGATGAGTGTACCCCTTTCTCCACAACTTCTCCAGCAAAGGCTATCATTGGTGTTTTTTATTTTCGCCATTCTGACAGGTGTAAGATGGTATCTTAAAGTTGTCTTGATTTGCATTTCCCTGATCGCTAAGGAAGTTGAGCATGACCTTAAGTGTCTTTTGGCCATTTGAACTTCTTCTGTTGAGAATTCTCTGTTCAGCTCAGTGCCCCATTTTATAATTGGGTTGATTAGCCTTTTACGGTCCAGTTTCTTGAGTTCTTAATATATTTTGGAGATCAGACCTTTGTCAGTTGCGGGGTTGGTGAAGATTTTCTCCCAGTCAGTGGGTTGCCTTTTTGTCTTAGTGACAGTGTCCTTTGCTTTACAGAAGCTTCTCAGTCTCAGGAGGTCCCATTTATTCAATGATGCCCTTAATGTCTGTGCTTCTGGGGTTATACGTAGGAAGTGGTCTCCTGTGCCCACTTGTTGTAGAGTACTTCCCACTTTCTCTTCTATATCTATGTTTTTTTTTCTTTTCATTATCAAAAATCCATGCTCGTACTTTTCTCCTTTCTGTAACTTTGATGGGGCTCCTGTAAGAGTCAGACCTTTTGTTATCCTCTGTACTTTTGTGGTCTATCATGAGAGAACCAAGACTGGAATATATTCCCCCAAATTAGGCATCCTATTAATTCTGTACCCCTTTATAATTTCTAAATGAGGGTCCTAAAAATATGGTTGTTTGTGAAGGTGACTACCTTGGGGCAGTTTGAAAGCCATATCTTGAAAACCATGCCTTATACTATAGAGTCTGTCCTTGTTGAACTAAACTTCAAAGGTTTCCTTCTTGATGTAGTTGATGATTACAAAAAGATACTAAGTATCTGATTAAATATAAAGAAGGGGGAGAAAATACAACTAGAAGCCAGGGCCCAGTCCAGGAACGACATAAGGATAATCTCCTAACAATTCCACCTGCCCATGTACAATCTCAAAATTTTGTGAGAAGCTTTAGCAAGTGACTGAGAGCCAGACAACTCTCTTGTGTCCATTACCAGCCAAAGAAGTGAAATAATGCTGGGCAGTGGTGGAGACATAACAAGGGGTTAGGGTTGGCAATGGCAGAAATGGGAGGCAAGGAGACTGCAGGCTGTAAGTGAAAAGTTATAAGGCAGTATTTGGGGAAGGAACTTTATGTTTTGGATCTGAAGATCTACTAATTAAGCTTATGTAAAGTGCTTGCTTATTAGGACTTGAGTTCAGATCCTTAACCTCCACATAAAAGCCAGGCATAATGGTACATATTGGGAAACCCAGAAATGTGGGGAAGGGAACTAGGAATGGGACTCCGTTAGCTTGATGTCTAGTCTGTCCAGCTAAACAGGTGTGCTCCAGGGCAGTAAGAGACCTTATTGTAGAAAATGAGAGAAGAAAACACCTGAAGTCAGGAAGACAGCCTTGACACCCCCCCACCCTAATCATCATGAGGCTACCTCTGCAACCATACACACAAAAAGTGAAATTTATTTATTTATTTATTTATTTATTTATTTATTTATTTATTTATTTTGGATTTTCGAGACAGGGTTTCTCCGTAGCTTTTGGTTCCTGTCCTGGAACTAGCTCTTGTAGACCAGGCTGGCCTCAAACTCACAGAGATCCGCCTGCCTCTGCCTCACAAGTGCTAGGATTAAAGGTGTGGGCCACCACCACCTGGCTGAAATTGTTTTTTAAATCCTGCTGGCAATCAAGATTAAATACCCTCAGTGTTATTCTACAGTCAGTTTACCTCAACAGGGTCCTTTTTCTTTATTTTGGCTGACTGGGGTGGTGGTGGGAATAAACTGCCTCAGGACTAAAATGGTGTAGGGTGAGGGGCTGCAGATCAGTCTCTTTAGGCAATGTCCTCTTTCACTCAAGAATGGATTTGCACCTAAGTCATACATTAAATACTGTGTAGGCAGACTTTTTTTTCCCCTGCCTGTCAGTTCCCAAAGAACCTACATGGAGACTTAATATAAATTATAAATGCTTGGTCAATAGCTTAGGCATATTACTAACTAGCTCTTATAATTTAAATTAATCTATTTTTATTAATCTATGTATTGCCACGTGGCTTGTGGCTTTACCTGTCCTCCAATATATCTTGCTCCCCCTGTATCTCCTTGTAACCTCACCATGTTTGCCTGACGATGACTCTGACTCCATCTTTCTTCCCAGTGTTCTTATTCTGGTTTTCCCATCTAACCTTATCCTGTTTCAGCTATTGGCCAATCAGTTTCTTTATGAAACCAATTACAGTGTAATTTATACAGTATACTGAAGGTTTATTCCATAGCAAAACTGGTTGGACCCCTGACCAGAAAACAAAAGAATAAGTCAGACAAACCAGAAAAGGTGGGCAGATAAGTAGTGGTAGGAGTAGAGAGTGGAAACCTCAGAACTTCCACTACTCAGATGCAGTTGCCTTGGAAATATTGCAGAAAGGGAATTGCAGGACAAGTCAGAATAAACAGTACATACTTTAGATTTAAGCATAAAATGTTAAATATGGGTTGGGTTTTCACGGGTGCTGAGATGTTACCAGGCTAGAGTAGTTTTTTTTTTCTGTTTTTCTATTTTGTGAGTATGCTGTTTTATTTTTCAATGTTGGTATGATAGCAAAGCTAGAGGTGTGTTTTGCCTTCTTTTATTTGGCCAGCCTTTGAAAGCTGATGTGTGTTTTATATTTATAGTACATCTCAAGATGGTCTACCATGTCTTTTACTTTTTTTGAAGTAAGGTCTTGCTGTGTAACCCAAGTTGGCTTCAAATTTGGTATATAGCACAGGCTGTCTTCAAACTCATCCTCTTGTCTTAGCTTTCCAAGTTCTAGGATTATGCTACCATGCCTAGCTATGTTTTTACACTGTCCTGGTACTTGCTCTGTAGATCAGGTTGGCCTCAAACTCAAAGAAATTGCCTGCCTCTACCTCCTGAGTGCTGGGATTAAATGCATGTGCCACCACTGCCTGGCTCTGTTTTTACATTTTAATGGATTGTTTGGTTTTATTTTATTTTTGTTGTTTATTTATTTATTTATTTATTTATTTATTTATTTATTTATGGAATAGAGTTTCTCTGTGTAGCCCTAGCTGTCCTAGAACTCACTTTGTAGACCAGTCAGGCTGGTCTCAAATTTATAGAGATCCACCTGCCTCTACATGCTGAGCGCTGGGATTAAAAGTGTACACCACTACTGCCTGGCTAAAGGGATTATTTTAATAAGACAGAATTAATAGACTTAATTCATATCTTATGTTGTACAACATCTACAACAAATTTCAATGTAGTCCTTTACAGAAACCATTTGTTGATCTTCTTTGAAGTCTTTTTATCTTGACAGTATTTTACTAAGGAGGGTGCTCTTATTCCTGTTTTGCAGATCAGGAAATAGATGCACAGAAGAATTAAGCAGCTTTCTCTTTGCATTTGCCAGAGCATACTGCACTCTAAAAACAAACAAACAAACAAACTTGCTAATGTTTTATTTCTTTGCAGTGTGAAAAGTGGATCAGGTGACTCATATGCTAAAGGATGGCACGGTCAAGATCCAGATCCCCCAGGTGGAAACAAAGGTGAGGAGTTCCATGTCTTACGCAGTTAACTTGAATTTGGAAATCATCATTTCTGCTCAAGCTTCCATTAAACTTCCAATAAGCTCACTGGACCTGGATGTTCACAATAGGCAATTGATCAGTATTTCTAAATCCAGGATGCTGATGAATTTTTTTTTAATTGGGGCTGGTAGCTTGAATTTATAATAAAAAGGAATTCAGTGACCACAACCAGAATGAGAAATGAGTTTGAGAGGGTTAAATTCCTTTTAGCTAATGAGGTTTACAACTCTTCAGTGTATGCTTTATTTAAGTTTTCATAATATGTTTCAAGAAATTTAGTCAGAAAATAAAGTGTTTTCTGTCTTGGCAGAATAGTGGATTTAAATAGCTCAATTATATTTCAACTTTCATTTTTTCTGGTATTTAGTATCAATACTATAGTACACATAATTAGATTGGAATAGTTCAACCAGTTTATTGTACAGCCAAGTTCTGGGACTACAAATACAAGTAGGGCCATCTTCATGGCCTCAGCAAGCTCACGGGTTGGCTGTAGGGGAGTAACGCAATAGGCAGTTCTGATCCAGTGGGGAAAGCATTCTGCACTTGTAGGGAAAGAATAATTCTGCTTTGTAGCCAGTAAGTTTTTGGACTGATGGAAAGGACTACTATTACATAACATGAAAAATGAACTATGATTTTTTATGTTAATATAGCGTGGCTATTGTTCTTGCTTCAATAATATATCAAGTCATCGGTCATTTAGTTTTATAAATGCCACAAAATCATGTTGTATTTGGTAGAAATTTCAAAAAGAAAAGCGAATATAAAGATAGAAATGACTATAACATGGATGATAGCACAGAGATCATTTTATTTTATTCTTTTAGTGAATGAGGCTCTGGTAATGGGCACAAGGATTCCGTCAAGCATAGTGCCTGATTTTCTAATTCCTTCTCCAGGGTTTTTTTTATTATTAAGAACTATGAAAGGTTTGACATTTTGGTCCTACTTGCAAGCAACATACAACTTTGCCACAAGGCACTCCCCATGTCAGAAATATTCGCTCTACCTTCTAGGATCTCCTGAGGGCCAGCTCTTCAGAGTGGCTGGTTGGTGGATGATGCAAAACAGTCACAGGTTCTGGGGTTGTGAGACAACTGAGGAACTTGAGTCACTTGTAGTTAGTATTATCTTATTATCATGGGCAACAAACAAATAAACCCTCTAACCCCGAGGGAGACCTTATCTCTGTTTCCAAGGCTGTTTCCTGGCTAACCAAAGTTGTCACTACTTGCAACATTCTAGAGACTGGACAGTTGTCTCTAACAGGCTCTTAGGGTCTGTTTTGTCCTTTTAGGAGAACTAGAAATGTTAACCATTAAAACAACTATTTCTAGAAGAAGTAAGTACTATACAATAAGACACAAAATACAGCGGTAGAGTAGATTTAAATGGAATTAAGGGATAAAGTTAAATCTTGAATAATTTCATTCAGTCTGGAAGATGTTTGCCTCTGTCAGGTTCTCTCCTTAGCAATGAAAAGAGATGAAATATCCCAGTAAATCCTCAGAGCCGCTAGTTACTTCCCATCCTGTGATGAAGTATAGTCATCTGGATGACAGTTTCTGCTTCTGTCTAGCTTGGTGTCTCTGGAAGACAGTAGTGCCAGTGAATGTCCTAATAGGTACTGAAGAAAATAGGTATTCTTCCTTTCTTTTGTAATGATCCAGATTTTTCATTGGAAAAAAAAAGGATTCATTCATGATTGCTCCAATTACTTAGGAGCTTCTTAGAGCAAGTAAATTAAAAAAAATGCCAGGGCACACCTTTCTTACTGATTTGGAGACATTAAACCTTAAAGGAGATGATGAGAAATTGGTCAGGTCACATGGCAGAAAGGTTCTCAGGTGTAAAGGTAAGCTTTATTGTGTTCTTTCTTATCTTTTTTTTGTTTGTTTGTCTTTTGTTGTTTTGACTGACTTGTTTTTTGAGACAGGGTCTCATTAGCTGACCTAGTACTTAGTATATAAGCCAGACTGGCTTCAAACTCAGAGATCTACCTGCCTGTGCTTCCCAAGTACAGGGATTAAAGGTGTGAGGCACTATGCCCAGCCACCTTCTTTATCTTTAAGGCTGAGTAAACTACAGTGTTTGTCATGAATATGGGAGTCTTTACAAGTCTACCGACTTGCAGTGTCAAGGTACCAGAAAAGATAGATGCAGAGAAGCTACAATACTGTCCCCTGTGTGTAGGGTCCTTAGGTCACTCCAAATGACCAGAAGACACCAACCAGGTATGCAATTACAGAAAGCAACTTCATTCTTGAGAGAAAAAAAAAAAAAAAAAACAGCATGCCGAGGCTTGCCCAAAATGGCTTCGACCCTGGGGGAGGGTAAGGCAGCCCCTTTTAAGCCTGTTTAGGGGAATTCCAGCTTTGGCTAAGTGTACTTTGAAGTGATTGGGTATAGACCCTTACTGATACAGGAATCATTTTATGATTGGCTCATGACCTTTGGTCAGCAGCTGTGGTTGCAGTGTCAGGGGTCTGTCTGAATGAAAATAGCCAGTTCCTGCTTGTGTCCAGGTAGGACCTCATTGACTACCAGACTGGATGTACTTCCTGAGGATCTGGTTGAAGCCAGACATGAGTCAGAATAGGATGGCGGGGTAATATGGGGCAGAGATCTTAGTAAACTGGCCCCTGGAAAAAAACAACTGTTTCTAGTCCCTTCAACAACACACTGGCTAGATTTATAAGCTGTTTAAACAACACATCTTTCAATTAATATATAAGGGTCAGAAGATTTTGGAAAGAAAAGAAGTTTATGCTAGAAATATTTATGGAGGGATAGGCATAGTAGTCCACTCTTGTATTTCCAGCATGCTAGTGGCAGAGACAGAAAGATTGCTTTAAGTATAAGGTTAGCTTTGTCAATAGAAACAATACCAGTCAGGCCTGCTTTTTTTATAGAGTGGGAGTTGATTTTTTTTCTTAGAAACAAACAAACAAACAAAAACTCTAATATATGAAGGAAAAGTAGAGATTGATATCTTATGATTATTTTCTCTTTTCTGCCCGTGCTACCTGTTAAGCTTCTTACTTTGGTATGACCATGAGGGAGAGAACAGTTGGGAAAACTATGGAAACATTTCTCGGTATGAGTTTGGATTGTAGAATGCGGTTTCAGAGGTCATGTTCAGTTTTCTAAACACTCTGATATATTTGTTCTTACTTTGCTCTTGCTTGTTTCTCACTTGGCTATTGAACCTGATGGAAGCTTTTCCTGATTGGCCTTTTGGAGTCACTACATTTTCTTTAGTTAGAACTTTTCTATCAGTAGTCTCTAAAAAAAGATTGTGCTATATAGCTGATCTGGTCCTCCAATATGATAGGTCCGTTTAACCCAGTTGGATGTGCTCATTGAATACATTAGTTTTGATGAAGAGAATATAGTTGTCAGGTGGGACAAAAGAGTTATTAGACCTCCTCACCCCAATATATAAATTCCAGGTATATATATATAACAAATTTGTAGATTTACCTCAAGTGGATTAGTAGTGGAATTCTAGGAAAGGTCAGTGTTTTAGGTAAGTCACACTATGCAAACAGTTAAATGTCTTAAAGTTAACTAAACTTCTCTATGTTTGTTCACATAGGTCATTATCACCACAATCTAGGAATTTTGAATACTATGAGGAAAGACATTTCCATGGGCATTATGACCCTGAATATAGAGATGATCCAAAAAGACCCTTTACTTGGAGACTGGACGATGAGAAACATGGACAGAATAAACTAAGGATTTCCCCTCGTGTGAATCCTTATTATCGGTCTTATGAAAATAGATCACCTTCCCCAAATGTAAAGTCTGTAGAAAAATTTGACACATATAATCCTCACCAAGAATATTTCCCTGGAAGAGGGGATGATGACAGAAGATCTCAGTATATGCCCACATACTCAGAAAGTGCAGCAAGCTATACAGAGCATGAAAGGGATTGCTATTCCCCCCAAATGCAAGGAAGGTTTATTCCTGAGGAGCACAGAGTTAGAGGAAGAGGGAGAGGAGGGAAGCCACCTCAGATGTCACTGGACGATTCCTTTGGATATGAAGAGGCATGGCATGAAGATGAATTGAGACACCAGAGGGTCCATGAAGAAAACTATCCTCAGTCACCCAGAAGAGGCTCAGAAGACTTTGATGCAAGGAGCCCTTTTCAGAAGAGGTACAGGAAATCATTAAGCCTGGGCAGTTTGGCATAAGGCCTCAAGTAAAAGAGTCTGTTACTTTTATGTTGATTGTGATCACCTTTTTTTTTAATCTCAAAAGATGAAAATATTTCTTTTTTGCCAGGCGGTGTTGGCACATGCCTTTACTCCCAGGATTTGGGAGGCAGATACAGGCAGATTTCTGTGAGTTCAAGGCCAGCCTGGTCTACAGAGCTAGTTCCAGAACCCGCTCCAAAGCAGCGCAGAGAAACCCTGTCAAAAATCAAACAAACAAAAAGATTATTTCTTTTGAAGTAATTCATACTAATAGCTAGAATATGTTTTTCTTTTCTTTTTGGTGTTTGAGACAGTGTTTCCCTATGTAGCCTTGACTGTCCTGGAACTCACTCTGTAGACCAAACTAGTCTTGAACTCAGAGATATACCTTTATCTCCAAGGTGCTGGGATTAAAGTTATGTGCCTCCATGCCCAGCTAATGCGAGAATGTTTTTGGAAGATGTTACTCTAACTTTATGTGTTTTTACAAGTTGGCCTGAGGTCTTATATCTTGTCATTGATTGCAATGCTGTGTTTTAAGGTCAGATTGTTCCATATTCTACACATTGAAATTTTTTTACTTCAGTGCATTGCGAATATAAACTTTTTTATGTCAACACAGGTATCCTGAGGATCATGATTTCAGAAACTATGACTACACACCAAAAAGATCTATAGATGCAGCAAGGTATGAAACTAGAGAGCCAGCCAGAATCTCAAAGTGGAAGCCTGAGCATTCTTTTGTACCTTTTCAAGAGAAGGATGAAGAGTGGAGCTACGGATCACAAAGCCATAGATACACTGAGAGAGAATACCCAGAGCTGATTTCAGCAACCAGAGTATCTTATGACTACCGTCACAAACATCATAAGCTTTCAGACAGTGAGCAGGACTTTCCTGATGAGAGATTTCAGAAGTACTTGAAGGAAGAAGACAGGAAATACAGTTCTCTAAAAGTTTCTGGAAATAGAGAGTCAGATTGTTTCCGTACTGCAAGAGGAAGAGAGAATGAAAATGATCAGGTCAGTGGGCCCTTTCAACTATACAAGAAAGACTGCATTTCCTATACTAATACAAATATAAAGGAAGCTGATTTGGGGCCTTGCAATGACAAATGGAAGAAAAAAATAAAGAAAGAAGATTGCAGAAAAGAGAGTGCCTCTTCTAGTAAACAACTTGATGCAAGCCCAAAGCATGAAGAGAAACGATATTCATTTGTCAACAAGAAATCACTTACTGTTCAAGTAGACGTGAACAAGAGGAACGCATTTAGGTATTAGCATTTTTAAATATTTATTAATAGATTTTTTCCACCTTAATTTTCAGTTTCCAAGATGGGATTTGTACTGTTGGTTAGATTACATTGAGTGTTCAAGAAATTACCAAGATTTTCCCCCAAAGTCCTGTAATGAGGAAAAGTTCTGTAGCTAGTAATAGGTGATTGAGTGTCTTCTGGTTCCCATAGCTTATCTCCAGATAATTCTTAGGTTTAGGGCATTTCAAGGACTTATTTCTCTTTATGAAGTTAGATATTTTTATACTGCCAGGTTTTTTTTTAATCCAGGCAGAGGAGAGTTCAGCTTCTATTCTTTTTGTTTGTGTGTTTGTTTTTTGAGACAAAGTCTTACTATGTAGCCCTGGTTCTCCTAGAACACTCTTTGTAGACCAGGCTGACCTCAGACTCAGAGAGATCAGTCTGCTTTTGTCTCCCAAGTACTGGGGATTAAAGGTGTGTGCTACCACCATGCCAGGCCAGCATCTATTCTTTATGAAGCTTCTTAGACTGTTCCTTGTTGCTTTTGACGTTCATAGAATCTTTTAGCAAGAAGGGATCTTAGCAGGTCCTTATTTTATAAAGGATAAAAGTTAGATTTTAGAAGTCAAAATGTCTTTTTGGGATCCCAGGAGACAGATAACTTGATGTGTGATTCCTACTGTGGTTTCAACATGACTGAATTTAACTGACTAGATTATTATCCAATATGAGGGAATGAGGCTATAATTTTTGTGTGCATGAGCATGTGTGTGTGTGTGTGTGCTTGCGTGTGCATACATGATGTGTGAATGTTGGCACATATGTTCCATGGCAGGTGTGGACACAACAGAGAGAGCACAGTTTTAAGGAATTGTTTCTCTCCTTCCACCATGAGTTCTAGGGATCAAACTCAGGTCATGAGGCTTGCATGGCAGATTCTTTTACTGCTGAGTCATCTTGCTATCAAACAGTTAATTTCTTAATAGATTTAGTTTCAAAACACTATTCTAAGCTTCTCATTGTTTATAGTGAGGGAGAATTTTTATTAAGTCAGGTTTTTAGATTTTTTTAAAATACTTATTTATTTATTATGTATACAATATTCTGTCTGTGTGTATGCCTGCAGGCCAGAAGAGGGCACCAGACCTCATTACAGATGGTTGTGAGCCACCATGTGGTTGCTGGGAATTGAACTCAGAACCTTTAGAAGAGCAGGCAATGCTCTTAACCTCTGAGCCATCTCTCCAGCCCCCAAGTTTTTAGTTTTAATAATAGCTTTTCATGTATAGAAAGTATAGTAGTGGTTCAGAGTGGCTGATTACAATGTTTTGACAATATTGAAGAATAAAAATAGTCTGATTATTTCTTGTATATTAGGTGACTTAATGCCTTGTATGTTTGAAGGAAAAATTCACTTAGAATTGTGATTTGAAAGAGCTCAGGACCATTTATCTATACTTATCTTGTGGTTTATTAGTTTTATAGCACGTACTTTTATGCCTAAATTATGACAGAATAAATATATTTTTAATGTTTAGCTATCTTAATTTTAGCAAATTCCATCCTTATCTAAACAGTTTCAAATTTAATTAAACATGTCAAATTATTTTAGGTCCACTTCTAGATACTCTGCAGAGAGGCAGCTATCACATGATTTGGTTGCTGTGGGCAGAAAAGCTGACAATTTTCATCCAGTATTTCACCATCTCAACTCACCTCAGAACCCTGAAGACAAACCTGCAGAAGAGTTTGCTCAGGAAATCATCACACTAATCCATGAAGTTAAAGGTTGGTAGATTTTGCCCAAACATTATGTATAGCACAAAAATAATGCACTAACTTTTCACAAGACACAAATACTTTAATAATACTCCATTTTGAGTTAGGAAATCTGTTGGAAAGAGTACCAGACATTCATTCAAGCATAGTTTTTTTTTTAGTATTTTCAATAACTTTCTGCTTCAAATGCTAGTGGACTGCAAATCATGAGTTAGTAAAAGATCAGCCTGCTCCAAACAACAGGCATATTGAGAACCTAACAAAGGAGGAAGAAGCAATAAAAACAGGTATAAATTCCAGATACTCCAGAAGTTAGGGTATTTTATGATATTATCAACCCGCCCCCAGGGCCTTCCTAGCACTTTTTACCATAAGCTGGTTCCTGTGTGATCAGTGGAAGATTTCATTTTGTGTATGTGTGTGACATCAAAGAGTTCATTAGGGCTTTAAAGATTTGCATTAAAGTTTTGTTTTTGATAAATTTCCACTAATTGGAAAAGCAGTGTTATAAAACAACTTTCCCTAGTAGTGCTGCTTAAATTATAGATATTCTAGACAAGAGACTTTTAAGTATGCCAAAATTTTATTTGCTTTCATCTTTACCTTCATGAAACATATTTTTAGAATAATTATTGGTGCTGAAGAGATAGCTCAGCAGTTAAGAGTATGAGCAGCTCTTGAAGAGGCCTTAGGTTCCCAGTGCCCGCGTGACTGAAGTATGCAGCTTGTTGGGAACAGTTTATTCTCTCAGCTCAATCTCTTTTTACCCAAAGAAAATACAGTTTTCAGGAAGTATGGTAGTATTTTACAGAAAAAAAATGGAGTGTCCCAGAACAGGACTAATGAATTAAAGAAGGTTGCTTGCATAGCATTGGGCTGATTAAGTGTATTCTTTTCTATACTATTAAGAACTTACTGCAGAGCTAATTTTAGAATGTCTTTGTGAATTAAAGTTAATGTAAAAGTGAAGTGGTGTTGGAAGGCACTCTGATATTTAAACAGAACTTCCAGTATTTGTTCAAAGATTATTTTAATTTATTGCTAATTGTTATAATTTTCACTGCTGTTGAACTATAGAGTGTCTTTCTTACGTTCTGGATAGAGTGTCATCTTACCATGGGCCAGAATGATTGTTACTTTGACAATGTCATTCTTGTAGACAAGAAAGTAATCATGGCAGATAGGAAAAAAAGCCTTCAATTTATAAGTCAAGTTTTTAAAAATTCTTTGGTTTTAGAAAACCATGAGCATTACAACTTAATAATGCAAATAAAGTTTGGGTCTTGTTTTTATTCCATGGAGAACAATTTGGATACATTTTAATGGCCCCTTCTTGATCTTAAGCTTTCTGTAATCTGTTTAAATGGCAATCAGTCTCATGTTGTCATGGAACTATTTGTCTCCTTTTGCAGCAAGTTGTTTTGCACCATCTAATGTTACTTTAAACGAGCGTTTCTCAAGAATACAAAACAGACATGATGCAGATTTCAATGAAATGAATTTGAATTCAGATCCAGAATTTCACAGGTAATGATTACTTTCTTTCCATTTACCTCATGAGAATAAACCTCAGAATAGATGTCAAGCCATTGGAATTGGTTACTTTAAGTGGTCACAAATGATTGTTCTGAGGCCTGAGGATGAAAGAATGCCTTTTGCTTACAGTTGTCCAAGCATATCATATACGCTGTGTGGAGTGCTAAGATGAATCAGTGTGAGAATGTTGTGTGTCACCGAAATACAGTTTGAGGTCACTGTTAAGTGATTAGAGAACCACCAAAACTTCCCTATAATGTGGTCCATAGGATATATATAGACTAGTACTTTGCCATATGGTGAAAACCTAGCAGGGCATGGTGGTGGTGCATGACTTTAATCCCAACACTTGGGAGACAGAGGCAGGCAGATATCTGAGTTTAAGGCAGTAAGTTTCAGAACAGCCGGGGCTATATTAGAAAGACCCTGTCTTAAACAAACAAAATAAATGAAAACCTACTTGACAGCAGGTTTCTTCTGCTTTTTCCAAGACCCACTTGTTTTATTTCAAATTCTATTCTGTAGTAAAACAATCAAGGTATCAGTGCATAACATAATTAGCATAATTATTTAACTATATCTCTTTATTATTTTAGGAGAATAGATATGTCTTTGGCCGATCTTCAGAATAAGCAGACTATGGTATATGAACCAGATGAGGTAAGTGAATACAGTTATTATTGGTATATTAGCAGGAAAAGGTTTGTGACAGATCCAGAAAGGAGTTAAAGATGTATGAAGAAAGGCTGATATCCATGAATCTAAAATTGAAAAAGTTCTCAAAGTGACTGATTGCAGTCCAGCATAGAGTAAGAATACCAAAACACATTTTCTTTGAGATTATTAAGGATAGCAACTTTGAAAAATTGATTTAAAAATTATATTTAATACTCATCCCCAGTCTCCTCAGTGTAAAGCTTACATAAAATATGATTGATAGCCATTTTTCTAAATCTGGCACATGGAATATATATTTTTAATTGTATGTGAAAGAAATACAAAGGAACTATGGCATTTGGTGCTGCCCTTCTGTTTGCTGTAGAATTTAAGAACTATTCTGTGGATTATAAACTAGCAAAATAACGAAAATAATTCTAAATTTCTATATTATCATGTATGTGGCTCCTACCCAACACCTCTCCTTCCGACCTTCTGTTATACTGATTAGAAAGACTGTTGAGACTAACCAGCTTGTCAAATTCTAAATGAATTGTTAAGCTTTCCTTTGAGAATGTTTCTGTAGTGAATAGATTTTAATGTATTTTTGGTAGACTGTTTAAGTAATTTTTCACTTACAAAGTTTTTGTTAATACAGATAGTTTAATTTATTGAATGATATTTTAAGAAAATTTCTAATTGTCTTTGTAATCAACTTATAGGAAATTTGAAGACTTAAAAAAATCCATAATTCCTGTAGTTATAATGTGATACATTTTAACAGTCTATCAGATACAATTCAATATGCTTTTTTCATAATCCATACTATCACTTTTATGTTAAAGTTCTAAATTTCCCCCATGGCCTTTTACAATCATGGTTTTTAAGTTTTAAATTTTTTTCACTAATGTTTTTCATATTGACTTTGATATATCATTTATTGATTTTAGTGACTGTATAGTTTTGTTTTATTTATTTACCATAATTTAATTCATAGTTCTTTTCTTTAAGTTATTTTTACATTTAAGTTGCTTCTTTTTTGTTATTTTAAATATTTTATAAAGAGGCAACCTTTTCTTTGGGATATAATCCCAGAGATAGGATTCCTAGTTCAAAATTAAGAACTTTTCTGACTAATGTCAATTGTGTCTCAAAGCATTTATATCAGTTTATACTACCACAAGCAGGATGAGTATAAAATAATTAAGGACTTTTAATTAAGATTCTTGTTAGAAATGTAATTGGTTTATATTCTGTCAAAATCCCTCAGACTCTGGTCAAAGTAATAGATCCAAATGACCTGCGACATGACATTGAAAGAAGGAGAAAAGAGCGGTTACAGAATGAAGACGAGGACATTTTTCATATGACTAGTCCTACAGAGAGGTAATCAGTAAATGAAAAATATCCTGCTATCAGGGAGCTTTTGGTTTCAGCAGTTTTTATATTTTTGCATGATTAATGTTAGTCTAGGGATTTAAGTTCTCAGATCTGTTTTATGCTTATTAAAATTATTCATTGGTTATCCCATGAAGTTTGATTTAAACATCAAAGACAATGGAGAGGGTGAATATTTGAGGTCTTCCTAAGTCTAAAGAAGAGAGTATAATAGTTGTTTGAATGTTACCAGGAGCCAGGACCAACTTTATATAGACTGTTCAGCTCAAGTGGATTAAAACTAATAGGCTTGAACCTTTATATTCTGACTTAGTTTGAATAACTACAAAATTTTAGGTCAGTACAGTTCTGTTTGGGAACTCTTCTTGGGTCTATGAAGTAGGCAGGTATAGTAGAACAGGGGGAAAAAGCCAGGAGTGGTGGCGCATACCTTTAGTCCTAGCACTCTGGAGGCAGAGGTGATCCATAGTGAGATCCTGTCTCCAAAACTAAACAAAACAAACAATAAAAAGAAACAGCAGAGGAAGACCTCAATTTGAATCTCATTGACTCTGCCCATTTACAAACTGTCAACAAATTTTATGAATCTTTAGGAATCTCGCCATACTATAATGATGAGACCAGCTTATTATGCAGGGAAAGCTATACTGTTAAGTCACTGGCATCTTTGAAGTTATGTCATGTACAGCAAAGAGATCATCATCATGTGTTTTCTTTGCAGGAGTCTTCTATCACACTTCTTTGCAGGAGTCTTTAGTCATTGGCCTCAGTCTGCCTCTAGTTCTGAGAACTAGTAGAACCTGTGGCAACTATGTGACCCCCATAATGATTATGAGGAATAATTGAATGAGACAATTTCTAGTTTGGTCAAGAGTCCTTAATCAGTTTGAATCTCTCAGAAACAGGGATTTGAATAGAGAGAAATAATGATAATTCTTTTTACATGATCCTTAGTGTCAACTCTTAAAACATTTAAATATTTGACCAGATTTTTAAATCAACTCTAAACCTAAGTAGCCATACTCAAAATACATGAAGTTTGTTTTAACTGGACTTGATTTTGATAGTAACTTTGAGACTGATTAAAAGATAGTGAAACTGTGTATTTTGGTATATAAAACAATTGGAATATGGAAAATTTCCTAATATGTTTGCTTAACACATGGTATTACCTTGTTTTTACTGACAAGCTGTCTGTTATGTTTTTTCTTGGCTGAGAAAGCATTAGAAACACAGTGTACCAAGAAGTGGATTTAAAAAAAAAACATTTGTGATGATAACCATATCATAAATGCTCCAAGACTTATCTTTACCCTTTGAGATGATTAGAACTTGAATCTGTTTGGGTTCAGTGCCCAGCTCTAGGAACCCTAGCTATGTGAATGACTTGGGGTAGGTTATCTAGCCTTTGTTTCCTCATCTGTGAAAATAGGAATGAGATTTGTGCTTACCTCATAATGGTGATCAGGATTAGGTAAAATGTACCTGGTTATCATTAAGCTTGTTAATGTTAGCTTTGAGCACTGTTGTAGCATGAAACATGATAATTTTTTAAAAATTCAGTATGTTTTTGCCATAAAATTCACCCTTTGTAAGTAAGCAATTTGAGTTGTTTTTACTATATTCACAGAGTTGTATAAGAACCACTTATCTGCCTTTAATCCCAGCTCTCGGGAGGCAGAGGCAGGTGGATCTCTGTGAGTTCGAGGCCAGCCTGGCCTACAAGAGCTAGTTCCAGGACTACTATGAGTAGCCAGGGTTACTCATAGAAACCCTGTCTCAAAAAACCAAAAAAAAAAAAAAAAAAAAAAAAAAGAACCACTTATCTCGTAGGGTGGTGGTGGCAGACACCTTTAATACACCTTTAATCCCAGCACTCGGGAGGCAGAGGCAGGCGGATCTCTGTGAGTTCGAGACCAGCCAGGTCTACAGAGCGAGTTCCAGGACAGGCTCCAAAGCTACAGAGAAACCCTGTCTCTAAAAACAAACAAACAAAAAAAGAACCACTTATCTCAGAAATATTTTGTCACTCCAGAAGAAAGCAGTGTACCTAACTGTGGAACACCCCTCCCCATTTTTTCATTTTCCCTTCCCTGGAAAACCACTGTTACACATTCTATGGATTGCCTATTTTTGGCATTTCATATAAATTCAGTAATATGTCTGGCATTTCGTGACTTCTTATTTTATGTAGCATGTATTAAAAGTTTATCCATACTATACCACAAAGATTTCTTTTATGGCTAAATAATGCTACATTGTACGGATGTGTCATTTGTTGTTTATCCATTTATCAGATGATGGTCTTTTGATTTGTTTTTACTTTTTGATTATTGTGAATAAATAGTGTTGTGAACATTTTGTGTGCAAGTTTCTGTGTGGTCATGTCTTCATTTTTATTAAGCATATACCTACATGTAGAATTGAGGAGTTAGATGATTATTACCAAACTGTTTTTCAAAATGACTATATCATTTTACACTCCAATAGCAATGGAGAGGTTCAAGTCGTTCATGTCTTTAGCATTACCTGTGAGGTTCTTTTTTTCTTTTTCTTTTTAAAATGATACCAGATCTGGGGAGATTGCCCAGTGGGTAAACATGCCTGCTGTTAAGCCCAACAATTTGAGTTCAATTTCTGGAACCCATGTGGAAGAAGAGAGCTGAATCCACATGTAGTTCTCTGACCTGATTGTGTAGATTATAGCAGAGGCATACACACACTTACACATGATTATACATGCCTATACAAACACGCAGTATAAATAAACATAAAATTTTAAAATTTTAAATGATGAACTGTTCATCCTTGACTCAGTTCAGTTTCCTTACTAAAGTAAAATTTATCCTTTTATCTTAGAAATAAAGTTTGCCAATTTCAGTATGTAGTTTGTAGAGAAATTCAGATAAAACCTAATGTCATAAATCATAGGATTTAGGGCTGGAGAGATGGCTCAGAGGTTAAGAGCATTGCCTGCTCTTCCAAAGGTCCTGAGTTCAATTCCCAGCAACCACATGGTGGCTCACAACCATCTGTAATGAGGTCTGGTGCCCTCTTCTGGCCTGCAGGCATACACACAGACAGAATATTGTATACATAATAAATAAATATTTTTAAAAAAATCATAGGATTTAGTGATTTCTTCCTATGGTATTTCCATTAAAATGTAAGTTATATGAAGGCTCTCTGTGTTTGTTCACCAATATATTCCATTGCTTTGAGCTCAGTCCATATTTGCTAAATGTGTAAAGACTTGACAAAGCAATAGCTGTAAGGCATTTCTATCTGGATTACTATTCCTTAATGTCTTGGGATCTTTTACCAACAAACTTAATTCTTTGACATTCCAAACAATGTATAAGACCTTGCTGTTCACTCTTGACTCCTCAATAATGAATATCTTACCTTGATGTCTCCAGGCCTTATGATGTCTCCAAGTCTTCTGGCACATGATTTCTCCTTCTAACCAGAGTTACTAAATCCTCTACAATGTAAATTGAGATGTGTTATATAGGTATGGGCCATGTGTAAACAAAAAGTTTAAAACATGTAACACTGAACTCCAAAAGGCCATGAAGCTACCAAAATCTTATTTTTCAGTAGGGAACTTATGGGGAAAGACACTTTATACTAAACTAGTATGAACTTCATCGAGGGCTTTCCATATACAGGTGATACATAATTCCTTGTTGTAAAGTTACATTTCTACGTTTTGTGGATACCATGAAAACTACACAAAACTCTTGACTTCCTGGCACTTGGAACTTGATGGTAGGAGAAAGAAAGTGTCATTGCAATGGTAGGTTAAAAACTAAGGTAGAAGTGGAAATTCACAGGAATTTTTTTTTTTTTTTGTGAGACAGGGTTTCTCTGTGGTTTTTTTTTTGGAGCCTGTCCTGGAACTAGCTCTTGTAGACCAGGCTGGTCTCGAACTCACAGAGATCCGCCTGCCTCTGCCTCCCAAGTGCTGGGATTAAAGGCGTGCGCCACCACCGCCCGGCTTCACAGGAATTTGTGTAATACAGTTTTACAATTTTAGTGGACATGTGAATTGATTGAAAGAGTCAGCCAGCTACATCATACCTGGGAGTATAGTACTTCAAAACAGGGAACCAAATGCAAAGATGTTAAGGCAAAAGCATGTTTTTTTCTTGGCTAAGGACTAGAATTATGTCTAATCGGGTTGTAGTATAGTAGAAAGAAGAGAGGGAGAGTGGGGGATGACTCAGTGGGCAAAGCACATGCTGAACAAGGCTGACCTAGATTTAGGTCTCCACAATAATCCTGTTGTAATTCTACTGGGAGATGGGAGACAGATACAAAATAAGAACTGGCGGCCTGTGGACTAGCCTGAAAGAGCAACAGTAAATAAGAGACCTGGTCTCCCAAGATGAAAGGTAAAGAAAGAATGACTCCTCAGGTCATTAGCTGACTTTCATATATGCGCTGTTACACCTGTGTGCCTGCACCTATATAAACTTAGAGATATGTAAAAGTATACAAAAGGTTAAAAGTCACTAGATGAGGCCTAGATGATTTCATAAAGGACTTTGAAGGACATAAAGACTATTTTACAGTGAGTGAAATTAAAAACATTTGGTGTTCTAACTAAAGAAAAGATATGATCTCTAAATTTTAAAAGGATTACTGTGGCTGCAGCTGTAGGAATTATAGACAAAACCATTTCATTTTATGGCTGATTTCACTTTCATAGTGCTTTTAAGTTTCATCTATGCTGTGTCATATGGCAATGTTTTTTTTTTTTCTTAAAAACTTCATTTTAAGGCTGGAATGGTCTTTGGATATTCTACGTTGTCTTTACCTGATTGTTCGTTTCTTATAGCTTTTGCCTGTTTGAAGGCATGCTGTTAGGTACACACAAGTAGCAATCTATTTATTGTAACCTTTCTGTTCTAGTGAGTGTAACATAGCATCTCACTATGTTTTTGATTGACATTTCCCTGATGACTAATGATAAACATTTTTCATATGCTTTTTGGCCATTTATATGTCTTATGTAGAGAAATTTTGTCTAAATCCTTTGCCCATTTTATAATCAAAGTCTTTATTGCTGAGGTATAATAGTTAGGAGGGTTGTTTTTGTTTGAAACAGGGTCTCACCATAAAGCCCTGGCTGGTCTAGAACTCACCATTGTAGCTCCTGCTGGCCTCAAACTCATAGAGATCTATCTGCTCTGCCTCCTAAGTGCTAGGATTAATGGCGTGATAATACACCTGGATAAAAGAGTTCTTTACTATTCTCTAGGCCAGTGAGATGGGTCAGTAGGTAAGGCACTTTTTTTTACCAAACCTGACAACCTGAGACATACATATTTTTCCCTGACCTCCACATGTGTGTTCTGACTCACATACACACAGTAATAAAATATAGTAGCATGTTATAGTTCTTTATATATTGTAGATACTACAGTCTGTTACTGAAAATGCTTGTGACTAGAAATGATTCAGATTTTAGATTATTTGGAATACTTACATATATATATATATACATATATACATATATATATATATATATATATATACACACACACACACACACTCAACTCTTGTGGGTAGGGGGCCCTTAACTAAACATGAAATTTATTTATGTTCTTTCATTCATTTTCAGAAGGAAATTCTATACAATATTTTAATGTGCCTTTGTTTTGACTATGTTTTGTCTTACATGGTCAGGTGTAGAATTGTTCTTCATGTTGGTGCTCAGAAGGCTTCAGATTTTGTAACATTTCAGATTTTTGTATTAGGGATGTTCAACCAGTATTCCTTTATTGGATATGTTTTTGCAATAAGGATTTCTATAGCATAAGGCATTTGTAATTTTGCCAAATAGAAATGAGCACTTCGAATATTTTGTCTATTTTTGACCTTTGTCTTTTTTATAGGCAAGTATGTGTGCTTTTGAAGTACTGAAATTATCCTCAATGTATAGTTTTGTAGTTACACACTGCTATTTTGACTTAGTACCACATCACATTTTATCAGGATGGTGGGTTTCTGAACATTTCCTAGATCCTGAAGTTTTATTTTGTGTCAGGTTCTGGGGTCAGCGATGAGAACACAAATAAACCAGTAGTATTCAAAACTTATCCCATTAAACACACAGGTATAAACAGTAGCTACAAACAGGAAAGATAGGTGTTAGGACCTCTAAATGCCGTATGTCACAGTAGAGTTATCTATTCCACCTCAGAGGAGTTTAGGAAAATTTTTGGGCAAGGCTATGAATGGAGCCGAACTTTGAAGTTAATCTAAATGGAAGGAAGTGATCACAGAAGTTGGGGAAGCAGGAAAGATTATGGTATGTGCTGGGAACTATCTATACACAGTAAATTATTTAAAGTTCAATATATGTGTTGGGGAGATTGGAGGAAACCAGGTAGTAAGGCCATAAAGAGTCAGGGCAAAACGGACACAGGAAAGGCGGGCGGATCTCTGTGAGTTCGAGGCCAGCCTGGTCTACAAGAGCTAGTTCCAGGACAGGAACCAAAAAGCTATGGAGAAACCCTGTCTCAACCCCCCCCCCCCAAAAATGTTATGGAGAGATGTAGGATATGACAAGGAAAGGCATTGCCAAGAGCTGTAGAAATGAGGCTTCCAGGATCTTTTTACCAAGCCGACTTGGAAAAGCCTGTTGTGACCTCAAGATCTCTCACATTGTCAGAAGGTGGGAGCCTGTCCTTTTCGGTATGAGAGCCCATAGCCTTGGCAGTAGTAGGTGACCATTTTCTAGTTTTCTACCTTACCTCTGATAAATGGGCTGGGTCATAAGCCATTGATGCGTCTGCCAAGAATCTCAGTAAGTGGGGGCAGGGGAGGCAGGGATGCTTTTTGCTGAGGGGGAGAAATTCTTCCGTGCATCAGCTATAGCCTACAGGAGTCCTGTTCTTCATTGAGAGTCAGATTGAGACTCCCAGTACAAGGAATGTTGTTTTTGCTCTATTGCTAACTTCCAGCTTAGTAAAATAATGTTTGTTGAAAACATCAGTCTTAATAACTATCATTTGTGACAGGTCATTGAAATTTTACTATTGTGCTATGTATCTGGAGTATCTTTAACTGGTTAAAGTAACAAGATTCTTTCTTTCCCTTTATTAGGAATCACCAGTGTCCCAGTTTTTCAAAGGTGAAGACAGTTCGTGCTGATGGATTTCAAAAACCTTCACATTTTATAAAATCAAATTTTAGAAAATTTATTCAGAAACCTTACATAGTAAGATTGGAGTTTCAAGTTTTTAATTTTTGTACATTATAAATATTTCCATACTTTTCAAAGTGGTTGTAACTTCATTGTGTTATAACAGTGTTGAGGCTTAAAAGATTTTATGATCAAGAAAACTTATCTCTTGTTTTAGTAGAAATGTCTTTTATTATAGTACTAATTTTCTAAAGATCTTTTGGTAACG